TTCGACCAGTTTTGAAAGTGCTCAAAACTAGCTGAATTTTGGCATGTGGGCTTCGTTTCACCTGAGAAACATTGCTCTGAAGTTTTTTCGCTGGGTTGTTCTTCATTCTCGAGAAATAACGTATGCAAAAAAGGCACACAGGTTGGAAAAACCGAGTGGTTTATTGCATACGTAATATCTCGAAAACGAAGCAAACTTTAGCGCGAAAGCTACGGGACATTGCTTAACATACCTGAACAAAACTGCATGTGAAATTTGCAGCATTTTCGACAAAGTTCACTTTTGATTAAAATACCTAACACCCTTTTCCCACCAAGTCCTTCAAATAAACAAAGCCGGGCCTTTGTTATGATAAACAGAGCCGATACTTTGTTATAATAGCCAAGCCAAGCCTTTGTTATAAGTCGAAGTCTCACCTCAGTTTATTATAACAAAGGATCAGCCCACCACGACCGCAAGGACTTTGATTTCACTTAAAAACCAGCAAAATGTCAATTTCACACAACTTATATGAGCTCAAATTTGTTGATTTCAGGACAAAATTGGTTAAAATGTTGACTCATGTTAACGCGCGACGGCAAGGATGTTGATTTCTCTTACAAAGCAGTAAAATGTCAATTTCATGCAACGTTTAAGCTCAAAAATGTCGATTTTAGGTCAAAAAAGGTTTAAATGTTGATTTCACCTTAACCCATGACCGAAAGGATGTTGATTTCACTTAGGAAACAGCAAAATATTAATTTCATGCAACGTATAAACTCAAAAATGTTGATTTCAGGTCTAAATAGGTAAAAATGTCAATTTCACATTAATGCGTGATGGCAAGGATGTTGATTTCACTTAGAAAACAGCAAAATGTTAATTTCACGCAACGTATAAGCTAAAAAATGTTGATTTCAGGTCTAAATAGGTAAAATATGGCAGCCGGAAAATAGTGTTAACATCTGGAACTTACTTTGCTTATCTGGGACAATGATTATCTGCACTGAACAAATAAACATTAAATAAGCACTTTTCTAAAGACAGCAACGTCTTAAATGGCTAAAAATCACGAGATAAATACATATTTTTTTGGACAAACGCGATCGTAGCTTTATGTCACACACCCCGCCTAACTTCGTGATTCAAAATGCATTGGTACATGTACCTCTTATGCCTGATGAGGATAACAACTCTTGTGGCTGTTTAGTTTTGGATTTAAGAATTTGATGACTTCACGTGAAAACGTTCTATAAATAGGGCAAACAGATTAACAAATTAACTCTTCTGCGCAATGTACCGGTCTCCATACATCTGCATGTCCGCTGATCCCAGAAGTTCAAAACATTACAAATCATGCCAATATGAAATAAAATCAATGCAACCTGGATCACAGATCTATGTTACAATCGATCACTACTTGTTGGCCATTATTATGTTTAAATGAAAAAAGCCAAAACAATCTAAATACCAGTTTGAGGAACATCTGCAGAACGTGATCACAATGCATGCCACGAGGGGTCTTTACAACTTGTGCGCCGGAAAACATGGCAGTCGNCAGACAATCCAGTGAACCAATCAAAGCTCGAAGTAATTACATGTAACTGACGCGAAGTGCGGGAAAACAAGTGTGAATGGGTCTCAATTGGTTTTGGTTTTACTTCTGATTGGATGAAAAAGTGGCACCAGTTTTTTAAGCCAGTTGTGTGGTGTAGTTGATGCAAAACCAATTACATTTAGACACTCAAATGAAACTGCTCTATTAATCAAATGTATTTTTTCTTAAACATTAATTAATGCATTACATGTATGTACGTGTGTCATATTTATCAACATCATGAAGTTTTCAGGAAAAAATAAAATGCATGAAATTGCTTTGTTCTAACGTCATTTAGTTGTTGTAAATTTGATTGTCATTTTTTTTCATCTAAGGATACATCCAACATGGTGATCATGGTCCTTCAGAAAACAAAAGATTAAAGACAATTAATATGTAAGTTAAATTTGGTACCAACAGGAGAAAAGCTGAAAACATTGCAATGGTGTGGAACTAACACTAAAACTGAAACTACTGTTCTGTAAAATACTGCAGCATTGTTCTGTCCAAGAATGAACCTTGTTTATCATAATAATTATTGGTACAGTGTATTTTACAAGTGTATTGATGAATTTCAATGCAGAGATCAGCTCTCTAACAAATCCACCAACATGCAAACCACATCAAGACAATGAACAGCTTGTAAAGATTTCAGTAATAATATGAACAGTTAATAACCAGTAAATAAAAATGACAGGCAAACGAAGATTTTTTGTATGCCTATCATATTACATGCAGATGTAGCTGCAAATACTTAACTAGCCTGTTATTTAAAGTATAATCACACCTCAGATTGCAATACTATCCTATCATTGTATTTCCCCATTCAGGGGTTTCATCGAGGGCCACACTGAGCACTGGGTATATTCACCAGCTCTTAGAATGAATTTGCCTACGTGTAGAAGCTGGTTTGACCAAAGAAAATTTCCCCCTACTATATTGCCTTATGGCCACTTGGCACAATATAATGCAGAGGTTTTAGCATTATTTGGGTTTTTTCTATTAGAAGAATTCATACATGATATTAAAAAATTGGCAACTGGATTAACATTATCGATTTTGAATCCTTTCCTTCAATACTACATACTTTTGTTTTGTAATATACTGACCTACAAGTCTCCAAGTTGAAAGCTGAGGAAGAACAAAGAAAGAAATAGATTAATAATGACACAGGCCAGGAATGGTTTGGCACAATAATTGTGTTTTAAGTTACTAGTAGTGATACGACTCTTGGTCAACAGCATTCTTAAACTTTCTATTAAAATTTTGTTCCATTTTGTACTTTAATTTTGAAATAATGTGTTACCAGAACTCCAGAAAATATCCATACCCCCCTGGAAGGGATTTTGCCTAAGACCTCACCCCTCTTCAAATTCAAATTCAGCTTCATACATTTCTTTGTACATTTTTTGGTGTTACAGAGCCCCCCACCCCGAAGAACATCCAATCTCTTCTGTTGGGGAAGGGGGTGGGGGAGGGGGGAGGGGGGAGGGAGTACATGTATGTTTATTTTCTGGAACTGCACAATTACAAAATTTAAGGCTGGAATAAAAAGTACAAAATTAAGTCACCAGCCACCCGAATAAACCAAAAAGCACTCCCACAGGCTAAGTATAGATAAAATTCCTACTAGGCAGCAAATCCCCTCGATAATTTAATTGTCATCTCCCATTCCCAGATTCTGGGAAACACCTGACCAGACCCAACCAGGGTCTCTCCTCGCTCGCTCCAGGGGGCGGTAAGATGACAGACCCTGGGAACGAGGTTGAGTCAGCGAGCGAAGCAAGCTGGTAAAGGGCCTTTCTTTGCTCATGCCACCAACAATGGGAACCTGCAGTTTTAAATTACATGAAAGTACACAGTCTGTTCCATACTCACGATGATAACTTCCAGAGATGCCTGAACTTGTTAAACAGCGTTGCAGTTCTTTGGCATCAATCTGCTGATCCTTTGGGTGCAATCATATACAAAATTTGTTTAAATTCATTACTGGATAGACAGACATTAACAAAAGTGCTCCAGGCTGTCATGATAAAAATGTATTGTCAGATACATCCCAACTCAAATATGTTTTCCAATTGGAGGAAAACATGTCATGTGTCATGGGTCAAAACTCATTTACTACCTAGGGCGAACAAACCTCACTAACTCCCTAGGGAAACAACAACATGAACTTTTGACTTGCATGTAATCAGGTCGTGCTCCTTGAAACTGCGGCAAATTTGTGAGCCAGCCGCTGCAAAGCAAACAATTTCTTCCCAGTTTTTTTTTTTCTACTTTTGAGTTGGGAGGTATAGCAAAACACTGAATGACTGGCCCCTCGGGAAACAGTGAGGTTTGTTTCCCTCGACCTCAATGTCCCCCTCGGCTTCATCTCAGGGAACATCAAGGGTTTTGGGGAAATAAAACTCACTGTTTCCCAGTGAGGCCAGTCATTAAGTGCTTAATGTTCAATGGTTATGAGCATCAATGGGACAAAGAAAGAAATCTGTGCCCCAACATGATTCTAACCACTATGCTACAAAGCTCTAGACTCATGGTGACCTAAGCCATTTGCTTATTTAATACATTCATAATTATGTACATTGACTGTATATGATGGACATGTATGTGACACGCATCCTGCATACTGATAAGGTCAGTAATGCCAAAAACATCCCACGTGGACAACAATAAATAAATGAAAGATGGGTAATCTTTAGCCTGCAGATTACTTGTCTTTAGAACTAAAATGAAATGTTCATTATGTCACAAGTGTAGGACAAGGACAAATTTTGCATCCCATGAGAATTCAATCCCATGACCTTCCAGCCAGTGGCACCCTGGCCAACCGCTGAGCTACATGTACCATTGTACAAAGAGACTCTTGGTGAGCTAGGCTGGCCACAATTTACTACATTCTAGACTATGTGAAATAGTTTGAGCAAAACTCACGTCAAAGCACACTACAGTGCTTAAAGCCTCTTTTAAACATGATTTCCTTATTTCTCATACTCAATGAGATCTGTTCATTGGCCATTTTTCAGAAGCTAATTGCATGCAGATAATGAGAATACGGTGGCCAGTTAACATGCAAAATATTGAGACCAAAATTGAACTCAAAATTGCAAAAAAAAAAAAAAAAAAAAAAAAAGGAAGGGAAAGAACTGCATAGCAATAACAATCATCATCATCATCATAATAATCTCTGATAATAAAAGGTTTTGTAAAACACTTTAGAATGAAAATAGGCAATATGAAAATAGAATGATGTTTCGATGACTCCATGTCGTCATTATCAAGTTCAAAATACATCATAGAATTGAATAAATATAAATTGTAAAAATGGTGTGAAAATATTTTAGGGAATTAAAAGGGTGTCAAAGTATTCAATTGTTATGTAAAGAGTTTGGCGCAAACTGAATCTGACTGCATGTTAAGTTTTGGTTTAATGTTCCAGATGAACAGCATCTCATAGATCAAGCAGTCAAACTTTGTGCTGCATTTCTTTAAAACTATAAGTTGGTCTTGTAGATTAGTTGCTTGCAGCTTGTGTTCTTCTTTCAGGCATTTACCAACAGCAGAATGTTTATGTTTGGTGATGCATTGAAAGAGATGTTGGGATGTATATCCAACATAATCTGTATCGCACAGATCACATGGAAATTTGTAACAATGCAATGTTGGTTGATCAAGGGAGGTTTGGTCTCTACCACTTTGATGTCATCAATGATTTTTCTACTAGTAAAAACTGGGCGGAATTCACTTCCAATTTTCTTGCTTAGTTTGCTGAGATCTTTTCGTACAGCATCCGTTGATATCTGATCTTTGAATTGTCTTGCCTTTCCTGGCTCTTACCAATTTCCAACTTAAGATCAAAGAAGCCCTTCATATTGAATGGGAACGATCCGCATTAAATTAACAACTCAAACATGTTAATTTAACACTCTTACTTTAATTACTACAGTTTGCACTGAGCTTTTTTCACAGATTTGTACTTGCACCTTTTTCTTCTCCCACTCCGTTGTACATATCCCTTACATGTAAGTATTATGTAACTTTTTCACTTATTTGTAACTATTATTCTACAATTTGACATTAACATCTACTTGTTACATGTATCTACTTTATATATAGTCACTCACTTGTAAACATCCTTTTACTGAAGATGGATACTGAGTATCCAAAACATGTCTTGCTAGTTTAAACGGTGTGTCATCGTCTTTAAATGTTTGATTTCAATCTTACTGCTACGAAAATTTGGCAATACAATAATGTCAAAATTAACAAAAACACAACAGCGGAACTATATGTCAACAGCAACATACTGTAAGTCACTTAATTTTGCATCATGTTATGTTTGCGACACTTATTGTTCACATCACTTTAATTTCCTGATTTTCAAAAACTGCGAAATTCACGAAATTAACATGTCGCTTGAATTTCATGTAATAAGGTAGCTTGCAAACATTTAAAAGACATAATTTACTTTTGCTAAACTGAAGTCTATGTTTGATCAATTGACACAACAAGTCATACACATAAAAGGAAAAAAAAAACTGACTCCAGTTTTTCAAACCAAAAGCAAACATATACAGCACAGCACAACACATTCAGCTGTATATTCGACTGTCAATCAGAACTAATCTTGATTAGTGCAGGAAGACTGTTCATGACTCAGATCACTATATATTTGGGGAATCAGGTTAACAGTAACTTGTAGCCATGCAACTATGTACAGTGCTTAATTCACAGACTAGGAAAAATTCAGATTTGGCAAGTTTACAGATTTGGTATATAATTTCTGATAGCCCCTTTGGCTAGTGAAAACAGCATAGATCTACAATTCTCACAGTTTTTGACGAAGCTTGGCACATTCAATTCATACTCAATTCAAGCTTGGCATATCATTGCCATTTGAAAATGTGAAAACTACAGACACAGTTATGCACAGGTACATACAGGTGTCTCCAATTTAAAGAATTTATTAACCTCTCTAACACCAACAGTTTTAAAGGTTTCATTCCTAGATCTTGTGCGCTGTAGTGAAACAGGCACAGGGTCCAAAATTGCGACCAGCTGGTCGCCAATGTGACTGGAAATTGAGTGTTGGGAACCAGAATTTTGAGGCTAGTCGCCATTAGGATACTAACTTTCACATCAAGAATCGGCGCTCAAGGAATTCATTTCGTTTTACATTGAAAAACTTTGTGTTTGGTTTGAACCAAGAAACTTCTATGAAGTTAAAAACTTTTGTTCTTAACTTCCATAGAAAATAATTTAGATCAAACATGAAGGTAAGATAACTGTTAAATGACCCCCAAAACAGCTATATAATCCACGCACTGTAATTGACATTTGCGATATTTAGTGCTTGGCAGAAACACATACTTTTCTTTCGAGTAACATGGCCGCTCGCTTTGTGCGTGGCTTCTGGAAGGCTTCATACTGATGGCATGTAAGATAGATAGGTAGATAGTTTTATTTAAATTAAGTAAAAATCTAAAGGTAAACATTTCAGGGTAGTCTCTTCAGGGAGCTTACAAAACATCTCTGTTATCAACAAGAGCCCTGAAGCTATTACCAAATAATACACAACAATAGGATATATACATGTACTGTACAAAAATAAAAACATAAATATAGGAATGTAAATTGCAACAAATACGTAAGAAGAAAACAATGTTATGTTCAGTCTCCGAACTATGAGAGCCATCTATTTGACAAAAACTCCATTTCAACTAAATTGTTAGTCTCCTCTGCAGCCATTTTTTGGAATGTCACGCAACACTCCCCCCAANAATGCTCCCCCCCAAAGAAATGGCTGCTCACATCCGAACAACATTCCTTTCACAAAATTAACCAATCACCGCTTCCATTCCTTTTCCAAGAACGTTTTCGCGCCAAATTTGCCCTTTGAAATTTGTCCAATCAGAGAATGTTTTTTGTCTTTGTATCCCGTCACGGGAGATGTTACAAATGAACATACAGATTTCCGGCTTTTGTTTAGAGACGCCGAAAAATACCGGTGACGCTTCAACGAGCTTTCTATGTAGCTGAAGACTCTTCAAAGTTTAAGCTAATTAATAGAAGCTTTCAACTCATAAAATCATTGTCGCAAAGGACGATATCTATTTCGACTTAATAAAGGAACCAGGAAATCAAGTAGCTTCGCTCGATTTGTTGACAGCGAGTTCTGAATGCCGCTATGTCCTCCTGATTACAATCTGTAGGAAGCGTTTAGCCCTTGATTGACTTTTACAATATGACGTTTCCAGAAAATATATATTCTTTCATTAGCTAAACATAGTGATGAGCACATGAAGCACTTGTACTTAGGGCTTTCATTTACATTTTTTTCAGTCCATTATGATTGTAGCCTGCGAACACCACCTATTTTTGGTGACATGCAGCATGAAACAAAAGCCAGAAATCCCTTGTGTGTTTGCACCACAGACCTTTTCATGCGAAAGCTTACGTCATTCACACTTTGCTATTATGTGATTGACCTGTTCAACAGAGCACAAACAAACCACAACACAAAAGGAAAAGAATGTTGTTTGGATGTGAGCAGCCGTTTCTTTAGGGGGAGTGATGTGTGACATCCCAGACAACGGCTGTGGAGGAGAGTACTAAATTGTAAGCTACACGATATTTTAATGCCTTTACATGTGGAATCTGACTCTTGTGATCGTTCAGGAGTAGGAATATTTTCATGCAAAGAAACGTCTTGAAAATCTTTGCGTTTTTGTGTTTCGCTGTAAAGGGAAAATTTGATTGACACTTTTTGCGACTACATGTACATTCTTCCATCTGGCAACCGAAAAAAAATTTTAGTCACCAATTGGCACCTGTTTAAAAAAGTTAATTTCGGACCCTGAGGCAGATAGAATATTGCTCCAAAACTTGACAAGACTAGCAGAAAATTTGACTACTGATATTTAGTAATTATTGTTTTGGCTAGGTAAGATCTGAGAAGTCAACAGACAACTACATGTAAGCCAGCGCACTGAAAAAGTATTGATCTCTTTCGATAAATTATGTAAACTGACTCGAGTCTTCTTTTGACTCAGAGCCATGTAAAGGTAAGTTCAATAACTCAGGCATGTAGCTATGAAAACATTAGGCTGGCATATTAATAAGCTCAGCTGGCTTTTCTGGCCTACACACTGTAGGCACCTATGAAGTTCACTCAAGTCTTGGTTTTTGTGTGAAATTTCAGCTGGATTTAAGTTTCTTTTGGCTGGTAGCCCGCAGCTGGTAGCCTGCAGCTGGTAGCCCGCAGCCAGGCCTGAGTAATATCCCTAGTAATTGTAATACCTACAGGTGTATACTTACAGGTCCAGCGACAGCGGAAAAATAGCCAAAAAGTGGATCAGCCTGAGGTTGCATTGCTCCTGGATAGCCTCCGTAACCTGGATAACCCTGGAAAAGAAGATTAAAGATACACCAGGCCTGTAATTATTAAACCAAAGCTTACACATGAAGACAATTTGAACAAACCAGAAATGCATGACATGCTAAGAATGGAAAACAAGTCATGGTTTTCACTGACAATGAAAATAGTACATACAGTGCACATAAGCATTGCGTCCAAGAACATGACAGGATATCTAGAGCTTGGCTTACATTAATTTTGCACACCAGCCGTCAAGTGGTAGCACAAGTTGAGAAGCATACATGGTGGAAGTATTGCTAAAATTTGTATTATTAGGTAATCACATGATTTTAAGTGTAGGCTTCCTTTGAAGTAGCTTTTTAGCTAAGCAGAGTGGTCACGATAAATAAAGAATTACTTGTAAACATGCTACTTACTTACGTGCAATTTGGAATAAATAAAGACAAGTAAATTTTCAAAGGTTAACAAAACTGCATAAACTCATAGGTATAATGTTAAAAAATCTTGGAGTAGTCTTTCTAAATAACAATCTTCAGCAATCTTTGGGTGATTTTAAGAACAAATGGGGGTTCAGGTTACATTTTGAAATCTTCAGAGTTGTTTGCTTGATATTCAGAAGTGTTTCCAAGGATCTTCAGCTTTCTTCAGAAGGCTTTGGGTGAGATTCAATTGATCACTTTGAAATACCTTCAATGACCATAGGCAGTCTTTGACCTTTGGAACTGTTCATTGAAATGTACACCTGTATTATACATGCATTATTAATACTATTCTGCTCTTGACTTATGTGTACAGGAAGGCTGCATATTTCCTTTTTTAGCCAATCAGAATCCATTAATTTTTTCGAGTGCATTATTAATACAGTAACATATTCATGTACACATGTGCAATTCTTCCTGGGTGATTGTGCCAGCAATGTACGTTCTACAACATTTTCAAAATTGCCCAGAAGGTTCCCTCTGCGATTTTGGTGTCCATCCCCTTTGAAAGACCAGCTATAGTTGTAGAGCACACAGATTATAAATAAATGATCTTAAATATAAGCTTACGATATAAGCTTAAGCTTATGTTACTGTGCGAAGAATTCCCTTTCTACGAAACAATGTAGCTGCTTTCAATTGCCCACCAGTGTCCAGTTCTAAACAATTATTATTACCTTAAAGTAAAGCTTAAGTTTAGAAAAAGCGATTACAACGCGTCAGCTGCTTTGCGTATAGAGTAATGAATTTAAGGCACAGCTTAGAGCTTAGTTCAGCTGTTAGTTTGATTCGAGCAAATTATGCAGAATTTGAAATGGCGTTAAATTCTTGATCTTTAATTGTGCATTATGCTTTGCACCAAACACCTCTTGATATCTCTTTGAATTTCTAGGGATCAGTTATCCCCCTCCTTACTTACCCCTCCATAACCACCTGGCGGTGGAGCCCCAAAGCCTTGATAAGCCATACCTTAAATCAAAGAATCCTTGCGGAAAAAAGAAAGTCTTCGATCAACCCACAAACAAGCAAGCTTAGCTAAGCAGCCTGGCCTGGGAGGCCCATCCCTCCATCCCTCCTTTGCGTTACGCGTGTCACGCTTTTTAAAACCCCTAAAACGATACAAGTCAACCTCATCTTATGTGCCTCACCTTACTTTTAAAGATAAAATGAACTTTAATTATACACAATGGCTTGTTCTGAAAGAGAAACAAAAAATAGAGAGAAGAACGAAAGTTACAGAATCTGAGCCTTACGCGTTTTTGTGACGTTTTTCGTGACCGAATTGTGAAACCGCTGACATTTGCTTGCACCCGGGGAGCGGTAGCTGCAGTGATTCGTTGAACACGAGAGAGACTCAGGGAAGAAAGCAAGACGAAACTTTGCAGGCTTTTGCGAATTTTATTCAGGTAAGGCTGCTTTTTTAATTCTGTGTTTTAATATACAGTTGTTCCTGATTTATGTGATCAAGCAATGCACGTTCTCTTGAGTGTTGAGTGACCTGATCGATGAAATTATTATTATGCAAAATTCGAAGCTTTTAATTTCATATCATGTATGAAGGTTTCTTTATTAATACAAAAGTACTCTGCCGACGCATACTTCTCAAGTCGCAGACACCTAAAAATCCAAGATGCGAGTAATCGTAAGATATGCAAATAAATAGGAAGAGAACAGCAGTTGAAAAAAACAGAAAAAAGGTGGCTTGGTCGAAGCGAACTAATAGTTCGCTTCGACCAAGCTGCATTTTTTTTTTTATGTGCAAGTTTGGCGATGTTGAAATCGATCGTAAGCTTGTATTATGATTAGAAGATTGAATAAAGAAACTTCAGTCAGATAATTTTGAGTGGATGATATCTTCATTTTGATTTAATTTCTATTTTTCGGCATTGTACGAAGAACACACTTGCAATCGACCATACCTGCAAAATTGCGAAATTCATGTCGTGTGACTGTCACGCGACACGAAACACAATAGCGCTATCCCATCCAATGTGCTTTCTTCTTTACTGATGTCGTTATCATTAAACAGAACTTTATTTTGAGAAATCTCCATCGTCAGGCTGATACAAAAGTCATTGTGATCTAAAATGAATTAAAAAATCCTTGTGATCAAAATACATTTAAAAAAAAAAAAAATAATGCAATTGCAATGACGAAATCCTGAAGGTTTTAAATACCTCCCCCGCTGGCAGATTGCGTAAATTTAAAAATTCATGAGTAGGCTATTCTGATAAATATTTTTTGTTCGTTTTGTTTTTATTTTTTATCCGCGAACCATTTAACAAATAGATTCTACGTGGCCTTGTATAAATTTACTAACGTTCTATCACGAATGCCGTTCTCTGATTGGCTACGCTACTCACTATCTATTCTGTCGTAGATAGTGAGTAGCCTAGCAGTGTGCGGTTGTTGACAAACTGGCGGCCGCTTTGCATTTTCGAGGTGTCTATGAAGAGGATTTAGATAAAGTTTTGAATGACCGGTAGATTTATACTAAAACAATTAGATTATTCACTCTCGATTTCTATGCGTGATAGTTGATTCTATCTCGCGATAGAAATCTCGAGTTCGTAATCTAATTGTTTAGTAGATCACAAATGGCGTCAAAACGTTGAAAGAGCAAAAAAGTGGCACACGAACATTTCTGCCATAGTTGAGAGGCTTAGAAGCAAAGTCGGCCATCCTTAAATCAATGAATGAACATATAAAATTGATCCCCAAACAAATCAAATTAATGCTTTGATTGTATAATGATTACCTGTCTTTTCATCGTACTTCTTTGACGGTTCTTGCTTTATTTGTTACAGGTAATTTGAATCTTCCACTTTTTTTAAGTGGGGAGGGGAGGGGAGGGGAGGGGAGGGGGGAGGGCTCAAGCGGTTCACCCCGCGTCCCCGCGTTTTGTTAAGCCTAGTTCACACCAGCGACATAGAGAACTTAAGCAAAGACGACGATGACGACGCAGAGGACGATTCCTAGTAAAGAATGAATATATATTTTGCCAGCGAACTCCGCGATTGTCTAGATCTGTTCGGTTCGCCAATGGCTCTAAAAACGTGCTTAGGCTAAATATGCAGTGAGAACATTCCACTTCAGTGCGTACGAACAATAGCACCAAAGCTAGGTTGGGGTGGACATTTTGATACATTTGCTGTATTTTTGTCCACCCTAACCTCGACTCGGGGCCATTGTTTGTTGGAATGCGGGAAAGGTCTATTCTAAATGGAAATACGAAAAATTAGCCGTAGTTGTTCACGTCCAGTAGACGACGCAAAACTTGGTCATTTCACGTTGTTATTTAGCAGACGCCAAAAAGCTATTGTTTTGCTCATTAAACCATTTGTTTGGTGACATTATCGTTGCCGTCATCGTCGTGGTTTGCTTAAGCTCCCGGGGAAGGGGGGGGGGGNGAAAACCCTTACCCTATTTATGACCAAATTCTGCGATATTCTCTATCCTATTTAGGGGTATGGAATGGTCCCATTTAATTTGAAAGTGCTCGCAAAATTTGGCCTAAGTTCGAATTGCTCGCAAAATTTAGATGAGTGCTCGCAAAATTTGTGCAATTGCTCGCATGATCGGATTTTGGTTGCAATTCTCTGCCGTGCAGCGGAAGCATAATTGGAAACAAAAATTGACACTGGAAAAAATGTTTCCGGTATGGCAAACTGGTAAACATTGGGGAAATATGCACGCGCCATGAATGTTTCTGGAAAAATGCTTCCTCGTTTTCTTGACGTTTATTGAAACTGACCGGCCAAAGTTCAGTCCCAGGTAGTAGGGTAACCCTACCTGAAACATTTTGCTTGTAAACGTGGGCCATCTTTAACCCTCTACCCTACTTGCTTGTAAACAGGGCCTTAGAAAGCTTTTGATCTCTTTTAGCGCCCACCCACTGAGTTACGTGAAGCTAAGTGAAGTAATTTTGCATCAAACGGCATATCAAAAAAGGCATAATTGGCTGTAAGCTGCTGGGAATGCCTGGGGTTGGTTGAACCGCGATAAGATCTTATATTAACATGTTGCCTGGCTTTGCGCCTGGTGTCCTGTTTTGGAGATTACTCTGCGCAAAACAACGTGTTAATTAATAAAATAGATTTTCGAGCTGGCGGAAAATTTACGAAGTGTTCGCTGCTCGCCATCTGTTATTTCTAAAGTGCTCGCTGTTCGCATGACAAAATTGATCACTGCTCGTGCTCGCAAAAATAAACGCACTGCTGGCATGCTCGCAAATGCTCGCAAAGACCATTCGATACCCCCCTCCCTATTTATGACCTGTCCAAAAATTCGAAACCCTATTTATGACCTAACCCCTAAATCAAAGCCCTGTTTCAGACCTGCGTTACAATTTATAGTTCCCTAGTTCAGACCAATGTTAAATCACTGTAAGCATAATTTGTGAAGGGCTTTTGTTGATTTCCTTTTCGATAACGATGAAAAGTGGCTTCTTCTTAAAAAACATGCCCATATCAACGGTAGAGTGCAAAAACCGTACCCTATTTATAACCAAAATGGCCAAAATCAGCCAAAATCGATGCCCTATTTATGACCAAAACAGCTGAAAAACTATAGACTTTAGGGACTCACATACCTATATAGCCCATATAAAGGAGTCCTCCCCCCCTGTTAAGCTCCCCATTTATGTCCTTATGTCAGGATGTTCACACTGCAAAACATAAGACACATAACGATGTAACGTCCTTCTTATGTCGTTATGTCGCTAGTGTGAACAAGGCCTTAGAGTCCGTGATTTTGAGAGAAATAAAACAGGCCACAAGCATTCGGCGTCCGCGTGTTCTCTGTAATTCAGGTAGAGTGGCTGAGCAAATACCCAAGGTAGTGAAGGAAGTTTTTAATTTCCACTAAATTTTTGCTCGAGATGTAATAAATAGTTGAGCAAACTATATTTGGTTGTTATAATTGAAGAAGGGCTTCTGTTTAATCGAAACAATGCGTACCAGCATTTATATAGGAACAGGTTTAAAACCGAGTGAGTTGCTGCTAGCGTTGCATGATTGGATCTCTAATTGACCAATAGCTATGCGCTATTCACGACATTTCCAGTTGTTACGACGCATATTTTAGTTAACTTGTATTCTAATTTTAAACTTATCAGGGCAGAACTTATCAGGGAAAATCAAGGCCCAATTTACTTTCTTTCACTCTTAGTTGCGCGGGAACTGGGCTATATAGCTATGTAGGGCACCAAAGGGTAGGGTTTTTCAGCCGTTTTTGTATGAATATGGTTTCGATTTTGGCCATTTTGGTCATAAATAGGGTATGGTTTTTGCACTCTAGTCCTGAATTGGGTATGTTTCTTGGAAGAAGCTATTTTTTCATCATTATCGATAAGACCGTCAACAAAAGCCCTTCATAACTTATGTTTGGGGCAACTATGCAAGCCGCAAAGGTCATAAGTAGGGTATCGAATTCGAATTTTTGGCCAGGTCATAAATAGGGTAGCAAAGATTGCAGATTTTGGTCATAAATAGGGTAAGGGTTTTGGGAAGTGGGCCGCACACCCCTACCCAACTTTTCTGGGAGTACCCCCC